TAATAAATAATAAATTTGAATTTTTCAATAATTTTTCTTTATTTAAATTTAATAAAAATGTATAATTTTTTGATGAAATTATTAAAGGATTATTTATATCCCAAACATTAATAAAAATATTTATTGAAAAATTTTCATTTTTTATTAAATTATTTGTTAAAATACGATTTAATAATAATGAATTTAAATTAAAATATAAATGAAATGTTTTCTTATTTAAATAAAATATATCATCTAATGATGAATTTAAATCAAATGAACAATTTAAACAAAAATTTTTTTCTTTTTTATCAATAATTATTAATTGACCAATAGGTAAATTAAGATTATCAATAGAAATAATATTATTATTATTATTATTATTATTTAATTTTAAATTAATATCAAATAAAAATGTTAATTTAAATTCTACAATACATTGTGTTGATAAACGATATGGTTTACCATAATCAGTTATATTAATAAATAATTTTATTTCATTTATTGTACGTTTCCATTGTGTATAATTAAATGTTATATATCCATTAAATTTATCAATAGAAAATCCAGGTAAAGTATTTATTAAATTATATTCTAATTTTCCATTATCATTTTCATCAAGATCAGTAATATTTATTTTAAATATTGATATTGAATTAATATTATTTAAAATAAATAATGTTTTATTATGTTCACATTGTGGTGAATTATCATTAATATCTTTAATTATTATAATTATATCAATTGATATATCTTTTTGATATTGATTTTCAGCAATAAGACGTAATAAATAAAGATTTTGTTTTTCACGATCAAATTTTTTTAATGGTTTTAATAATAAATTTTGATTATCTAATTCAAATAAACCATTTGGTTTATTCCAATTATGTAAATAAAGTGAATATGTTATTATATCACCATCAGCATCATATGCATATGGTAATATATATGATTTATTAAACCAATATTCATCATTTTCTTCTATTTCAATTATTGTTCGATTAACAAAAAATTTTATTGGATTATCATCAATATTTTTAATATGTATTGGAAGTATAAAAACATTAATAGTATCATGATTTGATACAGCTATACTTATTGATATAAGACAATGATTAATAGTTATATTCGAACATATTTGTTCGAAATCTAAACGTTTTTTTATATAAAGTGTATGACGTATATGATCTATTGAAAAAAGATCAAGATCAGAAGAAAATGGTTTAACAAGATCATATTCTAATGATTGATCTAAATTAGGAATTTTATCATTTAAATATGTTATTATTGTACCAATTGGTAATTCTTCGTCAATAGATATTTCATTAAGTTGTTTTATTGTTTGAGAATGAATTAAAGTTAATATGAAAACGAAAAGAAAAACAATCATGTTTTATCTAAAATAAAACAAAAAATAATAATGA